AAGCCACCGGTTCCAGGACATGAACCGCAGTCGACTACATGGGAGTCCAGCGACATGGCCATTACACTAACTGCTGGTCCCTATGTAGCACTTTTTAAAAAGTGTAATTCTGGGGGGCCAGCAGGTGGTGTGGTGATTGAGAGCTCTGGATTCCCACATGGGGACCGCAGTTTGAGTCCCGGCCTGGTGACTTGCTTTCTCACTTTCTCTTTTTTTTTCTCTCTCTCACTCTCACTCTGTCCCTCTCTGGTCAAATTAAAATAAATAAATAAATAAATAAATAAATAAATAAATAAAGTTAAATAAAATAATTCTTTTTTAAAAAAGAGTGTAATTCTGTCTTCATAATGCCCATGAAAGCTTGGGCAGAGTTGTTAACACCATTTTGCAAACGAGAGAACTGAACCAGCACTGAGACTGTCTCGATTCCCAGCCGTAGAGTATTCTGTCGGGGAAGGCACTGAGACCCCTGCATTCGCAGGTCAGTTTGTAGGTCAGTTTCTTGACATGGCAATTTGAGCTTTAGAAGATCAAATCACAGCTGTCTCATAGCCAAGAAATGCGCCTTCCTCCGCAGCACAGAATGTACCAGAGAGCAGCCTGGAGGCCACTGCCTGGACTCCAACACAGGACAGGACATCGGACCCCGGAACTACTTCCCGTATTCCTCACATCCTAGCAGAGTTGACCCGACATGTGCCTGCCTTTTCCTCATGCCTCCAGCCAGTCTCCACGTGTCTAATTTTAGACATCAAGCCTTCCTGGCCAGACACTGCAGCTGATGGTGTGTTCTGTACAGTGCGTGCCTTGAGCAGTGACAAAGCCAACAAATGCCACCACCATTCAGAGACAAATGAATGAATGCTGAGGGGCAGGTACGAAAGGAGAAGATGGCAATATTTTCTTCCTCTGATTTATCCACTGACACAAAATTTCATACTGAGGAACTTCAATGATCAGAAATTTATTATAAAAACATGGAACTATCAATAAAGATGTGACTGTTAAATTTTAAAAAATAAAAGGAAACACGATCACACAGGTATTTGTACATGGACATTCAGAGCAGCACTACTCGTAGCAGCCAGAAAGGAGGAGTAACTGAAATGTCCATCAACTGACCAATGAAGTATGTCACAGTCATCAGCAGAGTATTATTCCAGTATTAAAAAGAACGAAGTACTGACCAGGACCAGCAGTTAGCGTAATGGCTGTGTTGCTGGACTCCCACGTAGTTGACCGAAGTTCGCGTCCTGGACCCCGTGGCTTAAAACTCACGCTGGGCGTGTGTGCGTGTGTGCCCAAGATCCCCAGAGGAGAATGGAGGAGAAGGGATTGTGGCGTGGCCATCCCCCCTAAGGGGTGATTTCTCATTTTCTGTCTCTCTGTCTCTCTCTGTCTGGCGAGCGCATGTGCCCTATAGCAAAAAGCCTCTAAAAAAAAAAAAGAATGAAGTACTGATATGAGGGAGTCTTCAAACATTTCATAGAAAATGCATATTATGAAAAAACAAAAACAAAACCAAAAACTGGGCCAGTCCTGGGGTGGTTAAGGTGGCTGGAACCCACAGGACCAACTGCCCAGTTCAAGTAACTAGAGAGACTCACCAGTGTGCATGCCCAAAATCCCGAGAGGAGAGAGGAATGGAGGAGGGTTGGGGTGTGACCATTCCCCAGGGAGGAGTGCTTTCTCACTTCCTCTCTCTCCCCTTTTCTGTCAAGCTCATGTGCCATTGGGCAAAATTTGAAAAAGAAAATCTATGCGTGGATTTCAAAATGTTTACACCAAATTAAATCTGGACTGTAATTCCGCTTTCTATGAAGTCCCCGCATATACTATGCTACAACAGGGATGGACCCTGAAAAAATATTACGCCAAGTGAAAAAAGCCAGACACAAAAGGCCACACATTGCATGATTCCATTCAGAAGCAATATTCAGAAAAGGTAAATCCACAGAGTCAGAGAACAGAAGAGTGGTGGCCAGGGAATACGGGAAGGAGAGAACTGTGGCTCGCTGCTAGTATCAATACTATTATGTACAGGGCTTCTTTTAGGGGGTGGTGGAAATTTTCTGCAATTATTGGGTCATTGGAAAGTCATGATGCATTTTGCAAAGACATCTATGAAAAGAGAAAAACCAGTGGCATGTAATTCATTTACCTATCCTACCCGCTCTCATTGCCATCACCAACCCACACAGACGCCCCAGGCAGTGTGATATCAGAAGTTCCCATTCCAATGGCCACATGCTTCCCATTCCCAGCATTACCTGGAAGATGTCCACTAGAATCATGGCCGCCAGCAGGACGGTGACCATTTCAAAATGTCCTGTCTTCATTTTTCTCTTCTAAAGTGAAGAAATTCCAATTTAGTGGACTTGAAAAAGAGGTTTAGTAGAACAGAGTGACATTATACATTTTTTCTTTCTGGGTGAGAGGTGGTATGGAGAGATTATCAGTAAATCCCTAACGACTAGAAGAGCTGCCAGGTCTTACCTAGTAGTTTAATACCCTTGTTTTACAGACAAGGAAACGAAATCTAAGAACTTCAGTGACTTGCTAAAGATTCAATCTGTCCATTTCCATATTCTCCAGATATGTCTCTCCCACCGCGGTCACAGACAGTCATGTTTTCTTCCTAACTCTAACTCTCTTCTCAGCACGCACAGCAAACAACGTGAACTACGAATAAAAACAGCAGTCGCGAATCGGTCAGGTCCCCTAGCTCCCAGTTTCTAAGAATCGTCCAGGAATGTGTCCAGACACATGACCCACTCTTCCATTCTCTGTGCACACTAAGCCGTGCACGTCTGGGTGGGATAGAGGTGAAAAAGGCCGGTAGCTGTACAAAGCAGACTATCCCCCTGCTTTGCCCTAATACAAGGAAGGGCTCTTCGAAGAGTTCATGGAAAAAGGCACATTATGAAAACCCTATGGATTTCAAAATTGTTTACAGTAAAATAGGTTCATATTTACAAAATTGTTTACAATAAAATAAGCTCATATTTACAAAATTGTTTACAGTAAAAGAAGCTCTATTTTTCTGCAGACTTTTAGACATGCCCTCATATTTGCAATCATGAGACGCCTAAGGGTAAAACAGGTGTCTTGCTTAACTTTCCGAAGGCAGGAATGAGAATGAGGAGGAACTGGGTAGGCAGCGATTCTATTTAGATTATAAACTCTACTGGCTGAATGCCCAATATCCATCCCAGTATTTACGATGAAAGGGGTAAGCAGGAGGGTAAGAGGCCCTCCAAGGCTGACGCTGTCCCAGAGCCTTTACCCAATTCAATTAAAGGCCACAGCAGCAAGTCCACCGCTCCTTCCACATACCTCCAACGAAGTCGACCGTCCTGGAGCGGAAAGCAAGCCTCTATGTTATCCTATCGATCACCACGGTCCCGATTCTGAAAGCGGGACTGAACAGCACAGGAAGGGAGACAGTCTTCCCCTTTACAGATGAGTTTGGCCTCAATTTCCCATCTCTCTTAAGCAGTTTCTTTTTACTAAAGATATTACAACCTAGCTCCTAAATGTCACTTCTGTGTTAAATGTCCCTTTCCAAAAAACGATTTGAAAGAGACGACTTGACAGATACTTGTCACAGGCGTCACGGGCCAGGCCGGCCTCTGGCTCAGGAGTTTCCTGAAAGTTTTGCATCTCCGTAGTCTGTAATAAGTCAAAATGTTTACCTGGCTTTTGTGCTTTAGGAGGAGGCTTAAGTGATGCTATGTCTCAGACTGGGTCCCCACTCTGCCTTCAGGACGGGATGTTGTTGACAGCGAGAGCTGAGAAGGGAATGCTTTTCTTTTTATAAACACCCGAGCCGAAGCTTGGCCGTGGCACATTACCCAGTTGTGTCGTGCTATTTATATCTGGCCCCCACACTATGCCTTGGAATCACCGCTGTTAACACTTTAAATCTCCAAGAGGCTTATAAAGCCACAGCAATTCTCTGACCGCACAGCACGTGCAGTTCCGAGCCCACAGTTCTGGGCTCCTCTCAGAGACACCGCTTCCCGTTCCTACCCTTTGACACTGAGACGGCAAACTGAAGCCGGGATGTTTCCCCAGCTGCATGACTCACATGGCTAAGGGGCCTTGCTCTGCCTGCTGCTGGCGGTGGTGGTAGCTATCACCATCCATTTCAGCTCGCTCACAGGATTCCAGGTCCTGTGCCAGGCGTCAGGATAGACAATCAAGTAACACAAATAATGAAAAGCACTGAAAGGGCTGGCCCAGCAGAGCAGTGGGTAAGGGAGGTGAACCTACCTGATGTGAGTGACTGCAGTTCAAGTCCCAGCCCCAGAGGCTTTAAAAACATGCCAGTTGTGTGCGTGTGTGTGTGTGTGTGTGTGTTCCCAAATCCCAGTGGGATGGAGAAATGGAGAAGGGACTGTGTAGTGACCACACCCCACTAGAGGGTGCATTCTCTCTCTCTTCCCATTGGTCTCTCTCTGGGGAGCATATCCCCTCTGGCAATAAAAGAAAAAAGAAAAGAAAAATCAAAGTACTGACCATCTAATAAAAGACATGGCATATTTAATTGACACACGTTATGAATCCTAAGTACAGACAACGTCCAATGAGACTACACGCACACGAATGCACCCAGTTTTTGTTTCAAGAGTTTTTAACTCTTGATTTCTTTTCTTTTTTTCTCTTTTAAGAGAGATGTTTGCTATAGGGCATGTGTGCTCGCTGGATACAGAGACAGACAGAAAGCAAGAAATCACCCCCACAGAGGGGATGACGATGCTGCAATCCCTTCTCCTCTTCCATTCTCCTCTCAGGATTTTGGGCACGCACACACACATACCCTGTGTGAGTTTTAAGCTGCCAGGTCCTGAACTCAAACTGCTGTGAGCCATGTGGGAGTCCAGCGTCGTAACCATTACACCATCTCCTGGTCCCAACTCTCAATTTCTTGTATTCATTCATTCACACATTCATTCATTCAACAGATATGTGAGTCCTTATGATGCACTCACACACACCCTGGGTGAGTTTTAAGCTGCCAGGTCCTGAACTCAAACTGCTGTGAGCCATGTGGGAGTCCAGCGTCGTAACCATTACACCATCTCCTGGTCCCAACTCTCAATTTCTTGTATTCATTCATTCACACATTCATTCATTCAACAGATATGTGAGTCCTTATGATGCGCCAGGCACTGTTTTAGGTTTTGGGGTTTTATCGGTGAACAGCTGATAAACGTCTTGTCTTGGTGATGTTAATATTCTTGTGGGAAAGGCGGCCGGATAATTATTAAAATAGTTCATAAAGTATGTAAGTATGTCGGAATGTACTAAGCACTACGGGTTTTTGCTTCTCTTTTGTTTCTAACAGCACAGAGGAGATTGGGAAAGCCTGCGCAGTTTGCAATATCAATTGGATGGTTAGGGAGGACTCACGATGTGATTTTTGAGCACGGACTTGAAGGAAACGAAAGGGAACAATTATGAGAAAGGGGTGGAAAAACGGTCACTCAGAGGGAATAGCAAGTGTAATGCCTAGTTCCGTCCGAGGATAGCTCAATATGGCTGTTAGAGGAGAGCAGTAATTTTGAAACTGCCTATGGCTAGGCTGGAAGAGAACTGGGTGATCCAAAGAGCCTAGAGTTATGATAAGGTGAATGAAAAGGACACAGGATATGGAGGGGAATTATCATCACCCAAACACCCAGCAGGATGAGCATCTCAGCCAAGCCGACGACTAGAGGTGAGCACCTCAAGACACGTCGCCTTCAACGGCAGGACTTGATCCCTCTTGGGAAGAACGGAAGGCCAGAAAAGAACTGGCGTTTCAGTGGCACAACTGGAAACAAACAACTACTCAGAGGAGCGTTCTACTGGGTACCCAAAACGCCCTAGCCAGGAGGCTCTCAACCAAGCATGTACACTACCCACCGTGACTGCTGAGGGCGTGGCTTCTCATACTCACCTGATCATCGATCTGGAAAATAGACCACCTCTAAGGAAAAGAAACGTGTAAGAAGTAGGAGTGTTTGACAACTCCCATTTTCTTCCATCTTTTTTTCTTTTCTTTTCTTTTTTTGGAGAGGTTTTTACTATAGGGCTCGTGCACTCACCAGACAGACAGAGAGAGACAGAAAGCGAGAAATCACCCCCCCAGGGATGGCCACGCTGCAATCCCTTCTCCTTCATTCTCCTCTCGGGATTTTGGGCACGCATGCACATGCGCCCGGCGTGAGTTTAAGCCACCAGGTCCGGGACTTGACCCACGGTCGACTACGTGGGAGTCCAGCGACATAGCCATTATGCTAACTGCTAGCCCCCCATTTGCTTCCATCTTTTGAGAAGATTCAAAATGAATGACACTCCTATACTTCATTCTGTTTCCAAACAGGGTAACTTTTGAGTCTTACGTGCATGTGAGGTTTATACAAATGAGAAACTCGTATTTATTGAGTGCTTAAGAGGTTTTATTTTTAAGATTAAATTTTATTTATTATTTTTAAAAATTTTGCTCTAGGGCACGTGCACTCACCAGAGAAAGAGAGAGAGAAACAAGCTGCCAGGCCTAGGACTGGTGGCCCTGAACTGGGGTGAGAGAAGCGAAAACCCATAGTGCTTAGTACATTCCGACATACTTACATACTTTATGAACTATTTTAATAATTATCCAGCCGCCTTTCCCACAAGAATATTAACATGACCAAGACAAGATGTTTATCAGCTGTTCACCAATAAAACCCCAGTACCTAAAACAGTGCCTGGCGCATCATAAGGACTCACTCCAAGGGAGAGATTCGCACGCACACTCACACGCGCCTGGAAGGGTTTTCAAGCTGCTAAGCCTGGGACTCAAACCACAGAGTCGGTCATGTGGGATCCAGCATCCTAACCACTACACCAACTGCTGGCCCCTTCATGCACCTTTTAAATCTTCCTATGATAATGACTGAAATGGCAAGGCTGGAGGTAGAAACGACATCTAAAGCCACCACCTCTGTTGTCAGAAACCTCTAGGAAACCTTTTGACTCCGTACAACCGTGCCTCTATCACACCAATGCAGCATGACATGCCACAAGGCAGGACGGTGTGAAGAGAGGGTATAGTTAAGTCGCCTCAAAGTCCTGGCAGTGACAGGACGAGACAACCTTTAGAGCAGGCTAACACAATTCCTACGATGCCGGCTCCGCAGACGGATCCGAGGAGTCCTTTATACTCCTTCGTTCACTTATTCTCCACTTCCCTCTAGTCCATTATCTCCTCCAGTAAAAGTTGCTCCTCAAGTACTTTTATCTGCATTTTCTCCTCTATAGAACATAAATTAATTACCACACACTTAAGAAAAACTTTTAATGGGCTAGGAAATAAGCTACTGTCGTGCACGTTATAAGTTGTAGATTAGGACACAAAGATAAACAGGACCTCATTTACTGACGAGAAAGGCCCTGTGGAAGTTATGTCTAAGTGGAAATAAGGGAGAAAAATTTTTACGTTTAGCCCTTCTTAAATGCATAACACGGGCACTAAATAAGCGAGCATTTCACACAGCACGAAGAACAGAGTAAAACTATGCAGTCAAGAGCTGAGTTATTCATTCTTTTCCCAAGGCTGGAAACCCCCCCGAAGTAACTATCAGAGCATCAGTCAGACTTAAAAGAAAACTGGACTTAACGCTTCTTAATG